GTGTCTGGATAGTCAAAATGGCCCATTGAAACTTAGCGACTCAGATGATTTTGAAATATGTATAACAATATAACATTGTATAGTAGTGTCTTGCACTTTGGTTCTTGTCGAGGTTTGAAACTTTCAATAAAAATAAATTTATTTTAATAATTTAAAGCATTATACAGGGTGACTGGTGAATTACTATCAATATTTAAGGAGCATACTCGGTACATGATTCTCATTCGAATTATGTAAAAAAAAAGCACTTAATTTTTGACAAAATTTCCGTATAAATAAGTAAAGTGTTGACACGTTCCAAGTGTTCAAGTGTGGACGCGTGCGGCGACGTGTTGATACAACACCACGTCACGACATGCGTATGTGTGAGTGTCAGTGTATACCTAATCTGTAGGGTGTTCACACGATGCGTAATTAATTACATAACTTTTGGTTAACTTTACTTAGAAGTTTATTAATATTTATGTTATATTAATTTTTATTTTGTCATATATGATCGTCAAATATCACGTCCTCAAATATCGATAGTAATTCACCAGTCACCCTGTATATCTTAAAGTCATTTAAGTCACTTGTTGAATATTTTATTTATAAATATGTACATGGGTGCAGTTGCTATTATTTGAATAATTAATAATGATGGGAGTTGAAATTATACGGTGTCACTTCCACGATCACCTTTACAAGTGCTGTCACAACAATGAGTTTTGGTTGGTATAAATAAATACGAGAGTATAGATTAAAAACACTAGCTCAGGCCATTGCAGGAATTGGGCTTCTTTGAAAGGAAAGATTTATCAATTCGTCTACGAGGCTATATTTAAAAGCCAGGGAGCCTAACGATAACTAAGAACAAAGGCATTAGTGACGTCAGTTATGCTGACGTCATACTGTTTAAGATACGACGACGTCGTATTAACTCCAACAGATATATTTATATATTATATATCTATATTTCTTATATAAATGCAGTTCGTAAAATAATAAGACAACATTTGTTTTTTTTGTGTTACTCTATAAAAGGTTATTTAATATTATTTTATAAATTTTGTTTAAAATTCTAAAATTATGTGACAGAAGTAACATAATGCCTACAAATATTTTGAATGTATAGAATAGAAAATTAAACGATGTCTAAAGTTAACCAATAGATTAATTTGAGCTTTTCATTTTGTTAGGTGTCATAAATGGGATATTTTTTATAGAAATGACTTTATATTAATAAATAATAACTTTTTAAATAACACACTCATTATATAATATATATTATTTTAGCAAAGTTATAAAGTGAAATACAAAAATAAAATTTAATATATATTTTTTTTCACTTCAATGATATAAACAATAAATGAAACAAAGGGAATGCCTCTTTTATAACGAAGGAGATACAAAATTGAATATTTTTTGTATACGTTAATTAATCACATCGATCCGTCTTATCTCTTTTTATATTTTCCTTTTCAATTTAACGTACAAGTAATTCGCAAAAGCTCAATACGCAATGGCAAGCGTTTCATATATATGAGGCCACGTAAAACTCACCCATTCTCTCTATTGTTTTATACATATATTTGTGTTTGAGAAATGCGGGATTACAGGTGAAATTCGTTTAATAAATAATTTTGTGTTGGTGTTAGGGTTTTCCGTATTTCAACTACAGAATCTGCTCCGCTTTTAATCTTGAACAACATATACATGGTTAAAATATAAACAATATATAATATGAACACTGTAAATAAACGGCTTAAATTAAAATCATAAATCATATCACGCCTACAGCCCTCTACTTGATAATGATATGCGCATTAGTAAAATATTAAGTAATATTATTTATTAAAAGATATTTTAATGAAACTGTAACTCCATTTCCTTGTGATTACCATTAATAAAAATATAAATAGAAATATTTAAGTAAGGCAAATTATATATTTATAATATTTAATTAAAAACTAGAAGTTTTGAAAAGAAAATGCTTTTGTAAAACGTTGCTATGTTATATATTTTGGCTGTGTCCATTCCTTTTAATCCCGTTCTTGAAATTTCTAGTACAAGATTTCATTTGAATTAAGAATAAGGTTTATTATTAGTTGTAGCTTCTGTAAAGTCTTAGAGTTACCAGTTTAAGCCAGATGTCTTAATTTCCCAAGACGTTTTCGTAAATATGTAATATTTTTGGTATCATTACACTTTACGTCATTATTCGAGGTAATAAATTTGAGAGGTGAATAAATTTTCCCGTCGGCGAAGAATGTTGTATTATTTTTATTTAAAGAACATTTACAAATTCTTGAAATAAGTAAACCAAATTCAAAGGGAGAGTATCGTAAATCTATTGTAAAAATTGTCTTGATATAGATTTTCTTCAAAAGAGCAATGTGCTTTTATCAAGAATGCTAAACTTGCTACTTAGCAAATACATTGCCTCGAACAAAATATTAATGTACATTTATCAAGAATGATAATATGAAGGAATTACATTCTTTCTTATAATATTTTCTCACCGTAAATCAATACGATAACTGATGGAGAATTCCATTTAACCGAAGAATAATGCACCTGTATCGGGAATGCTAAATAGGAACTTGTGAATTTTATTAATCAACGTCAATTATGTTTTATTATAAAATACCAAAAATTTATTAAAATTTCTTTACTATACTGTTACCATGACCCTATGTGCATTGCTAAATATCTTAGGCGGTTCAAAAACTTTCATTTTCAAATATTTTGGTTATTATTAAGTATAACCACTGCGTTAAGTTGATATTCTATTTCAATCATCAAAATCGTCATATGTTGTTAAGAGCAATCAACTTTTTATGTACCATACATACTCTAAATGCTGCTCGATCTGTAAACTTCTAATATAGTAATACTATTTCACTACAATACTTTGTCTTTAGAATGTCGCCTTACTTTATATTTTTTTTTTATGTACCATGTTCCTTAAATTATGGTATTATAAGTATACCACCTATACTCAAATTAACTTTATATTTATGTTAATATACGAACGGTCAATTGAGAAAAAATATGCTACAAAAACTATATCTGAACTTGAAATTTAGAGAAAGTAATATTTTTGTGTCAGTTAATATTTTACGTAAAAATCGGAAAAACAAATTTCATCCGGAATAATATCTTTTCCAAAAGTCGGGTCGATGTGGATTCATTAGCAAGTTTTTTTTGATTGTGAATTATGACATTTCTTTCCAATTTTTTCGTCTAATTTTAACGGAGTAATATTTAAAGTTGATATTCTAAAGCGACAGTTTTTAACTGTTATTATTTAAACAGAAGCATTTTTATCTTTAAAACAATATATAAAATAGCTCTATATTTTTAAGTGACCTTGAAATACAACAGTACTCAACATATTTGTTGAGGACTTGTTATAGCTTTAAAATTACAAATGAAATATTATGTAAATACATAAGCAAGTAACTCTTTTTTCAGCTCTCTTGTTTTATCCAATGGAATTTTATGTTAAAAAAAAATCTAAACAAATATTATATATACATAATTCTGCATGAATTTCTCAGCAAAAGTTCTGTCACGGGTAATGTAATATAATTGAAATTAAAGCCAGCTGCTTGGAATAAATAATAATAATATAAAAAAATACTTATTTTGATGGACTTGTTAACATTACGAACTTATTTTTCTAGAATTCATCAGAATAATTATGGCACAGCCTTTATACAGTATAAAAATATTTTTTTCATATAAATTGATCACTCAACTGAAATACTTGATTTATAATTTTTAACAAATAGAAAAAAGTTAAGAAAACCGTAAGTAGTAATACTTTAAATTGAAAGAACTCAGTTAAAAAGACCCGTCCCATATATAATTTTAAAGAAATGTGCAAAGAAAAGTATAACCGACGATTTAGGAACTAATTAAGACCAAAATTTAATTTGTGTTTATTATTGAGGTTATTTGACTACTTTTGCTATTTATATTACAGGAAACTATATTGTAGAAGGTAGTGGACAAGTTCGTTAAAACTTACTGAAATATAGGTCATAAAACTGGGACAGACTGTAAACTATTAAGTATCACAAATTTAAAGGAAGGTGAATTGTATGAATCGTAATTATGCCACTACAAAACCTTTTTTTTATATGCCTGTGCCAGAGTATAAAATATTTTTTATGATTCAGAAATATTGAGCTGGTATCACGAGTAACAGCTACTCAGTTTTTTTGTCAAGAAAATATTTTTACTACGACTATTTCTATCATTAATCTGGATTTAAATGAAGAAATGAAACCTCAAAAGATTCTGAGATAGGTCTTCGAGTACGGTTAAGCTTAGCAAAGACAAATGAATATTACCATCTTCTACAATATTGTTAATGAAGGACCTTAAGATGTCGATGAATTTTTATTCTACTATTTCCCTTTGAATTTCAATCCAAACCAAATGTTATTGTTATAGTAAAAAATGTACCTAACTCACTGTAAGAGTGAATTCAAACTCAGCTGAGCACATTGGTTTTTATTGTAGTCTGGTACGTGCTGTTAGGTTCATTAAATGTCATGATGACCAGTAGTTTTTGAAAACAAAAAATTTCAGATCCCAAGTTTCACATCCATCCTATAAGTTAATAAAGTAATCGTATTTTCAGAGCTTATATATTAATGACCTTTTAATTTGTAAAACAGTGCGACTCTGTTTTAAATATTCGTATTTACCACCTTTTGTTACGGTTCACGGCTTACGTATAAAAGTGGAGCCGTTTGTGTTTCCAGTCTCGCAGTGTTCTAAGTGTTGGAGACTTGGACATACTGCCAAAAGATGCCCTATAGACAAAGTAGTTTGCCCTAAATGTGGTGGTAATCACGATAATTGTACCATTACGTCTTTTAAGTGTGTAAATTGTGGAGAAAACCATATGTCTTTTAATAAGTCTTGCCCGGTATTTAAAAAAGAGAAAAAGATTCGCCAAATTATGTCCGAGTTTAACGTAACATATACATAGAAAAGCTCGTACAATGTATGTGGCAGACCGCTCACCGAATACTAATGCAAATTACAAACCTAAGATAGCTAGTAATACTTTTAACGAATGGAGTGATTCCGTTAAACCAAGCTTTTTTGAACCACAATCTGGAACCTTGAGTTTTGGATCAACTAAAGAATCAGTTGATGCTCCATCCTACTCTAGCGTGGTAAAAATAAAAAAGGTTTCAAAACAGAATTCGAATAGATTACCGGGGCGTATACCTTTAAAGTCCCGTAATACAAAATTATCAGGTGAAACAGAGGTGAAAGATTATTTATCGGATACAAGTATTGATAACGAGTCCAAAATTGAAGGGAAAGATGGGGAAGGGACTAGCTTACCAAAGGACATCACATTTATGGAACTTCTATCAAGATTAAAAGAAATTATATTTTTGAAACAGGATTCTTTACAAAGTGTTGTGTGGAATGGGTAATATTAGTTGTAGTCGAAAATATTGCTGAATGGCCAGTTTTGTCTAATATTATGAAAATTTTTAATTTAAATACTAATAATGGGTGATCCGCTTAAAATAAGTTTAAACATAGCTCAATGGAATGCACAAAGTTTAAGACCAAAGTTGCTGTCATTTGAAAATTTGCTTATTCAAGAGAAAATCCACATTGCTTCAATCTGTGAAACATGGTTAGAACCTGACAGTCAACTTAATGTAAAAGATTATTCTATTTTCCGTTGTGACCGATTCGATTCATATGGTGGAATTGCAGTATTTGTTCATAAATCGGTAAAGTGTAAAAACACTACGGTAAATATTTCCAATTCAAATATTCAAATGTTACACATTGAACTATTTAACTGTAGCGAAATCAAAAAGTTAATATCGGTATATTGTCCACCATCACTGAATACACGACCTCAAGATTGGGAAGAAATATTTTCCATAGCTTCTAGAAATACTCTTATTATTGGTGATTTTAACGCGCACCACACCAACTGGTCTCGGAAAATAGATTCAAGGGGAACTCAAATACTTGATGCGTTAGTTAATGCTCAGTTCGTTACGGTTAATGACTGCACACCGACTCGTATTAAAATGGTTCAGGGTGTATTCCACCAATATTCCCCTGATATAGTTTTTGCATCATCAGATATAGCACTTAAAGTAAATTTTCAAGTTTTAAATGAAATGTTGGGGAGTGATCATTGTGTCATAAAAATTTCTACTAAGATTAAACCTGCCATGAATTCTATAGTTAAACGTAATTATAAGAAAGCTGATTGGGATTCATATAAAAAGCTATTAGATCGAATGTATGCTAATCTCTGTTTTCCTGATGATCTCCAGCAGGCTTATAACTTATTTATAGATTATATGAATATTGCAGCAGATTTGCATATTCCCTGTATCAAAATTAGTCAAAACCCATCCACTAAATTTACTCCAAGAGCCTATTGGAATGAAAATTTGTCTAAGGTGGTGGCCGAACGCCGTCTGGCTTTATCGACATTTCGCCGGAATCCAACTCCTGTTAATTTTGACAATTTAAAAGAAAAAATACGAATAGCACAATCACGTTTTCGTAAGTCTAAGGACTTTAGCTGGTATGACTTTTGTTCATCTTTTGTCCAAACGACATCGATGTACGATGTGTATCGAAAAATGCGTTGGTGAAGGGTATTAAGTCTCCATCCACTTACATTGATAGGGATACAGCCTATAAGTTGCTACAATGTTTAGCCCCTGATTTCGTGATGCCAAACAAACCAGTTTTCAAATCCCAAAACTTGAATTTAGATTCTCAAATAACAATTTCTGAATTAAAAAATAGTATTAGAGCAAAAGACTCTAGTCCAGGTTGTGACAACATATCTTATAGTATGTTACGAAATTTACCTTTAAAACGGTTTGAGGTTGTTGTTAGAACTTTTTAATAAATTTTATCGATTAGGTTTTGTACCCTCCCAGTGGAGAGATGTAAAATTAGTGGCTATACCTAAACCTGGCAGAGATTCTAATAGTTTATCATCTCTGAGACCTATTTCAATGATGTCGTGTGTTTGTAAGGTATTTCATACTATTTTAAACTACAGGTTAGAATGGTTTTGCGAAAAAAATCGAGTATTTTCAAATAACACAATTGGTTTTAGGAAAACATTTTCAACTTACAATAATTTGGGTATCTTAGTAAATCAAGTTTTAATAGGCTTTTCTAAGAAACAAAGTACTTTTGCCAGTTTTATTGATAGAGATAGTGCGTACAACAACGTAGATGTCACAGTTTTGCTTACCACTATGGATCAGTTGGGTGTGGGCTCTAATTTGTGCACTTACTTATGGAATGTCTTGCATAATAGAAGACTTATAATAGAGTCTGATGGAACTATTATGTTTAGGAGTACAAGTCGTGGCTTAGCCCAAGGCGATCCAATGTCACCTTTGTTATTTAACATCGCTACGGCCAGTATTTGTAAGACTATCAGAGATGTTAATATAAGTCAATATGCAGATGACTTTGTACTTTATATTACTTGTAACGATCTGATGGTCGCCAAATCTAAGCTACAATCTTCTCTTAATAAGCTCAATGTTATGTTGACTAGTTTAGGACTTGAAATTTCAGCATTAAAATCTAAGGTATGCATCTTCAGAAGGCAACGTAAAACAGAATCGATTGAAGTAGCAATAAACAATAAAACTTTGCAATTGGTGCATGATATCAAATATCTTGGGATATGGTTAGATGAACAACTCAGATGGACTAAACACATAAACTATATTTCCGAAAAAACAATGAAATGTATTAATGTTTTGAAGATTTTGGTGGGACCTGGTTGGGGTGTCCATCCAATGTTTTTGAGACGTCTGTATATTTCGCTGATACGAAGTCGTTTAAATTACGCGAGTTTTCTTTATGATAATTGTAGTAATACTCAGTTACAAAAGATAGAAAAAATTCAAAATTTTTGTATGCGCATTATTGGTAGTTTTATAAAATCAACCCCTATTCACGTAATGCAATGTGAAATCAATTTACAACCTTTATTTGTCAGGAGATATTTTTTGGCTTCAAAATTTTGGCTTAAATGTAAATCGTTTGAAGATAGCATTATAATTAATCAACTAAATGAATTACACACTTTATGTCGAGATAACAATTATTGGCAACGTAAAAAAAATCCCCTACTGGTAACTATCCACAGGCATCTTGAAGAAGTACCTATTTATAGATCGAAACAATTAGAAATGTTTTCTTTAGACACATGGGTAAGCAATGTGGATTTGTCTCAGAATATCCGATTTGATATAGATTTTGTAGAAAAGGGCAAAAGTAAATTTCACACTTTGGAACTATTACAAATTTGTGAAAACTTTTTAAATAAAACCTATTCACAATTTTATAAAATTTATACAGATGGGTCCAAACATTGTCAAGAAGTTGGTGCGGCATTTTTTGATATTCAGACAAAAAGTAGTATTCAATTGAAAATAAATTGCTATAATATATCTATCATGTATTTAGAACTGATAGCCATTTTGGAGTCATTATCTTATATAAATTCTGTCGATTCAAACAACTTTGTCATTTTGTCTGACTCAAAAAGTGCTTTGCAGCATTTGGCTCGATGCTCCTCGACTTTTCGAGGTGCACCGATAGCCTATGCCATTATGGATTCTATCCGTAACCTTCAAAATAAATACAATAAAAATGTAGTGTTACAGTGGATTCCTGCTCATGTCGGCCTAATAGGTAATGAGGTTGTCGATAGGTTAGCCAAAAAAGCGTCAGTGGAGGGTATTTTATTTAATTACGAACCTTATTTTACAGATATAATATTTAGTGTTAAAGTACATTGTAGAAATTTATGGAAAGAATTTTTTGACGAGCGATCACTTTCTAGAGGCATTTGGTATAAAACAATCAAATCGCAACCTTCTGGTTTCACTTGGATTGATGTAGCAAATATGAGCAGAAGTGAAATTATAACAGCCCTAAGGCTTCGTTCTGGACATATTCCCTTAAATAGCTTCAGTTTTTTAATGGGTAAAGTATCTTCATCACATTGCTCTGTATGTGGCGTAAGAGAAGATCCTGTGCATATTATTACGGAATGTGTACGGAACGAGGCTGAAAGAATGGTCTTTCTGCGGAAATACAATTTCACATTCGAAACAGGGTATTACAATAGTGTTTTGTCAAATCCGTTATCCGACGCTGCTAAAGAATTATATAAAGTTGTTTTAAAAGGCATTCAGCGTAGGTAATAATATATAGTAATTTAAGTTTAGATATGTAGTAATTAAATAAGGAAGTATGAATTGTAGCACTATGAGGGTGACATTTTCTAAATAGAAAAAACCCTCCCTTAAAAATAAAGAGAAAAAAAAAATGCTGTTTTTAACTTCTTATAAAGTTATTAAATCTGTGTAGTTATTTTCATAAAAATATATTAGGATGTTTTATTAACACGCACAAAATCTGAATTATAATTGGTTATTTTCACTATAACATTACTATCATAATACAACTCAGTTTCATTTTGTAACTTGATATCATACCTAACTAGTAACCTTTATTTATCTTTACAGTAAAAACTGAATTGTTTAATATAATAGTTGAAAGTCTTATTTTTTAATACCAATTTTCTAATCGTACAAAACTTTCGACAACTTACTCACTACTTTCAACGAAACCCAAATAATACGGATTCCCTTTTCCTGTATGATATTAAATGTAATCTTACACTTAGTTTGTTAAAGAAAAAATGAAATGAGTTTGGAAAATCTTGATTCAGTTCTATTATAGTCACAATTATATCTTCTTTCGTTTTATGTTTTAGTAATAAAACATATTAAAAGGAACATTGGTTGTAAAGCTAATAAACACATAACATTAAAAATACATTGATGACACCAAATAACTCATACACGTCGTTTAACACGTAATGCACCGTGTCAATACAAAACAACAGGCTGTTCCTATTTTACACCTTCCATAATTAAACGAATGTCGAGGTCATTTTCATCACAAAGTATATTGCTTTTTAACAAGATACAGTTACCAAGATTAACAAAAGTTGTTCGATATCGTATATTTGTTCCTATTGTTTTAAAGTATTTTGTTCATTAAACCAAATAAAGCTATTATTAAACATTGAATATTTTGGTAGCCTCAAACCCTCAATAGTAAACTAGTTAAAAGCACAAGCCTTCATGCCATATCGCTAAAAAGAAATTTCACGATTCAAACAAAATTGAAACTCCGCAATATGTACCGAAAAACGCTTCGTTAACTCGTTTCAATATATCTTTATCGTCTTTTATTATCTTTTGACCTGTAAATACTAAAAGCAATGAATTGAATTCTTAAAATATTTTGATACCGTGCTTCGCATTTCTTAGGTATTTGTTTTCTTAAATAAAATAGAAACATGAATATATAATATTGTAAAACTTTTGCTATATATTTAAGTTGTAAGATTTATTATTCAAAAGAGGACTTATATGTACAATTCAATATCAATAAGCTTGCTATTGGTATATAAGTAACAAAAATAGGAGGCAGGTAACACATATAACAGCTCAAGGTATATGTTTCCAAAAACAAGATTATGCAAAAAGAATTTGTGACGCAAACCTCACAGGTGACAAAATATATCGTCCCAAAAATACCACAACTAAAATAAATTCCTATTTACATAATTTAAGTACGATTTTAAAACACGTAATTGGTGCTAAATTGTCTTGGTAATAAAATATCCGAATTTATAGAGTCTACTAGTTTATTTTGTTAAATATTTGATTACAGTTATGGTAAGTATATACAGAGAAATATTTCCAATTTTAAAGTAAATAGATAAATTGTCTATTATGGAGCAATTATATAAGTAATATTGTATTTGTTATTTATTTTATTATTGAGACTACGAAAGGTAAATATAAAAAAATTGGAACACTTCAAAAAGGAGAAATTGTTCATACATAATAAGAATATTTGTTTAGAAATTAACACTACTATATTTTTATTCAACTGTTTTAAAAACGTGTCTGTATTATATAAAACTTTTGTAGTTGAATACATTTTGAGAAGCGTTATTTTAATTACAAAATCATTGGAAAAATAGTTCAGAAAACAAATCCTTAATTAAACAACGTAACATGTTTATATTTTTCAAGGTAATATAAAGTTTTTGGTTTTTAAAACAAAATAGTTGATTAATAATAGTGAAAGCCTTTTAATCAATTTGAAGCCCAAGCAGACATTTTTAAGTTCAATAAAATGAGGAAATAAATACGAAAAAGATGAAAACTAAGAAGTTATTTCATTTTAAATATTGAAGCGTCTGAAAACGAATGTTGGATAACTTTGTTGTTGTCTTTTACTAACGCCTTGTTTATTCAAAATGCCTTGTTTATTTTATTCGGAAATAGGTCGAAGTGATAAAACACTTTCCCCAAACCTCCTATCCTCTTTAAACACAAAAAAAGCATCCTATGCTATCAAAAGTTCACTATCGAAATTAATTCTAAAACATATAAAATATATAAAACATAATTATAAATCAATTTACAACACTTTTACAAAATTAATTATCTTTTTTATCACCTATCGAAAACCAAAAAGTCAGCATAGTTTATTGTTTAAATTGATTTTTCCGATTTCTGCATGTTCT